GATCCAATACCATTTTCAACAGCGATATTGGGTGATAATAACGGTCATAAGAGTGATCATCGCAAGAATAATATCAATAAAAATCAGCAACTCAACTCACCTATCGACTGCAACAACAACACTTTGTGAGGTAGTTTCACCGAGACATTCCTGTAGACTGTGCAACATTCGTTCGTCGACGTGTGATGCACTCTTCAACACGTCTAAAATTATCTTCTTTATTAGTCATTACTCGACAGCAACGCATTACTCTCCGACATTCGACAGCAATCATCTGATCGATCGAAGCCGATTTTAAGGCAGTTCAATTTTAACGGATAAATAAACTAACACTGTGCAGATGAATCGTTTGCGGTGGCTGAATTCGACGGCCTTACACCCGTTCCGATCAACTGAGCCAACTCCAATTGTGAGATACATTTGAGAACCTTTAAGGAAGTTGGCACATAAGAAAACCGAAAGAAACGTGGAACTGCTGTAAAATTTGTTGGAATAAAGTGAAAGTTGATAAATTTCAGTCGAAAATGGTTAATTCTCTTCAAAAAAACAAATAAATACTTCAATATTTTACATCGAAATATGTTGCAAAGTAATTTCAAAGAACCGATCGAACGAACTCACGTCAACCCACGACTCATCCAAACAATTGCCATCTTCATCACCAATGGTCATCAGTAATTTTATCGATTCGATATTTTTCGATTTCATTTCAGCCATCGAATTTTTCGCCGTCAACAGCGTGAATCTGAAAGAGGACGACGGTTCGAAGCGCGCTTAGATGTCGGTCACATTTGCAGCGAACTAATTCAACGAACCAACTCAACGAAATGAACAAAACAAAATGAAATCCTTCACAAACGAACCTTGCCAGTGCTTGAATGTAAGCATTGCGTTCCAGTGCCAGTCTGAAAATGCTTGCAATACGAATGCCAAGTCTGAATCCTTGAAGGCACCACGATATAATATCACCATCCTCCGATGTTTGCAAACCGATACTGAACGCCGCCAAGCAAGGCGTCCATGCAATCTGTAAATCACAAATCAAACTTTAAAATAACCCTCAAATTGATTGAGTGATCGGTTGAATATCAAAAAAAACTTCAATATCTTATGTTCAAAATATAAACTATTCTATCCAAGAAATCGAAACAAAAATTTTAATGTATCCATATTAACAACCACTCTGATTTGATCAGCAATAAAAAAACTAAGTATGGATTCAAAGAAACTGATTGTAAACCTTGAACATTGGTCGAACATGTTCGTAATGCGACGCAGATGTGAAGGCAGCTTCGTAGTGTGAAGCAGCTTCCATGAGCGCTCGGGCTGTGTTCGCCATCTGCGCCAACTCAACGTTTTGCAGTAACTTTCGCTGACGTTCAGTTGTTGCCGATGCATCTGAACAACGACGACAATAATCAAACATCACTCACAAAAACATTCAAATTCAGAAATTCTATAAAATGAATAGTCCATAAAATTTTTCGCTGCTATGATGAAGACAAAATTGAACAGCAAAAATGAGTGTATTAACTTCGGATGTCTCTTTAATTTTAGATATGACAGTCACTAACTTCACCTAATCCTTTTCCACTAAATTTTTCATCCTTCCTATAATTCATCAATAAATCCAAATCAGAACACGTACAAGGTTCAAATTTACATTCAGTTATTTAAATGAGGAACAGAGAAATGACCAAGAAAGATAACTGGAAACCAACTGTGTTTTGGTAGTTTGTTATGGCCAGCCTTCATCTTAATTTCATTGCCAGCAATTTCGTCGTAAATATCCGACAAATACTGTTGCGGTAGATCACTTTGGTCGTTGATACCACGATTCATTGCTATGTATTGCTCTTTTGTCATCTTATTTCGAACCTTCAACACACCATCTTTATTATTCTGCCTCATGAACAAGATGATTAACAAACAAAAAAGTGAAATATTAAGATGAAATCAAATCGAAACGAAGTCTTACTTGAGGACTATGCAAATCGGTTGTTAACATAATGATGGAATAGGCCAACACATACGCCGTATCCGCAGAGGCGAACAATCCCAGACTGAAAGTCGAAAAACCTCACAGTTCATCAACAAACTGAATCCATCCCATCTCAATTCAACCAAACCATATCCTAACAATAAATGAAAAAACAATTCAACAAACTTCGGATTGCATTCACAGTATCGTGATGCGAATTTCTCCATTAGACGATCGATCTTCTGCGCCTCACCCGGCAGTCTGAATCCATCTAGGAACTGACGTAGGGCTGCGACGAAATCCTTATTTGCAAAATCCATTTGATCAATATATGCATACATTACCTTCTTGTGAAATCTGAAAACAAGTTAATCCTTATTGAATCAGAAAAATTAAAGTCTTTTTGGCGGAATACATAATATTTTTTGATGAATACGATGATCCACTTTGAAACTGATAAAAACTTCAATGTTATTACTAATGACGACAACGAACAAATGACAAAAACAGTCTAAACAATCATTATAGATAATAATAAACAAGAACGCACTCATCACCATCGCCCATATAATCACCCACAACCGTCTTATCCAACCGCTCTTCACGATGGAAAAACGCTGCGATATCCTCGGGTGTCGTTCCGACGAGATCTTTCTCTTGCAGATACTTCAATCCTTGCTTTGGCTTCATCGCAAACCTTCAAAAATACTTCAATTACCACCTTAAACAATTCACTCCTTTGCTAATCTTCACCTTTCAAGTTCTAATCGCTCGGTGACAAGGCACAAAGATTCCCTCTTAAATGCATTTTATAACCTCAACTTAATACCGCTGACTGTTGCGAGCAGCGAAAAACAATTTCAAGAAAGAATGCTCACAAAACAGATGCTGAGGAGCGCAAAACAGAAGATACGATTAATAGTATGTATTCGCATACTATTAATTAGGGTTGCAATGACTGAAATAAAGCAAAAAATAAAACGAG